CCCCAAAACCCCAAAACCCCAAAACCCCAAAACCCCGAGATATAAATTATAGGTTGGAATAAGGATAATTAAATATAGCAATTTTATGAAAAATTGTCCAAAAATTGGTGCCATTTTGTTGCTGTGAATTTTTACAGTGATTTCTCAGGATTATGATTGGAAGTACTCTCTTGAGCAATTGTGACAACTTTATGGCTATGAGTATGAAGAGCATCATGTAACTACCCAGGATGGGTACATCTTGTTACTTCAGAGAATCAGAGGTCCATTGGGACAAGACAATTCTAATCGTGAGCCTCTGTATTTTAGCGACGATATCAGTCAAGATGAAGGTTATTTCTTTTTGGTGGGACCTGATGAATCCCCAGGCTACAGACTTATTGATGCAGGTTATGATGGTTGGTTCTTACATCCAAGAGGTGATGAAATGTCTAGAAGACATGTCGAGCAAGCTAATGGTCGCTATGATCCAGGTTCATATGAATACTGGGACTTTGACCTAAACGATATGGCATTAGATCATCTGGCTGCTATTGAATATATTAATCAACTCACTGGATATCCTCAAATTCATATTTATGGTTATTCATCTGGAGGAATATCGGTTGGTTTTGCTTTCGCTCTATATCCAGAGTTCATGAATCAAAGAGTGAGAGATGTTCATTATGCTGCTGTTCCAATGAATATTTATCATTCAGGGTTCATAGTTTTTCAGATGCTTGCTGCTTACCCTCAAGTAATTGAAGGAATGATCAATATGGGAGTCTACTCTATCTACAATAACAACGTTCCCCTTAGGATGATGCAGGGCTTGCCATGCATCCCGAACCCAATGCTTTGCTTAATGTGGAATGCTCTTACCACTGGACAAAGTAGTGTTTCTGAAGACAACCCCATTGGATATACTAACTTCCTTCTTAGAGGAAATGTTGGAACGAGTCTTAGAGCTGTCAAGCATATGACTCAGAGTGGACTTTCAGGAGAAGTCACATCCTACGATCATGGGACTGAAGGAAACCTTGAAGAATATGGACAAGAACAACCTCCTAGAATCCCTCTTGAAAATATTAACGTACCTGTGTGCATGTATTATTCCCCTGATAATGAGGCTGCTGACATGGAAGATGCGGAGTGGTTTGCAGACCAAATGGGTGACTCTGTTGTAGCTTTCAATACATACCCAGGGTACTCATTACTATCGTTTAATATCGGAAACGACATGTACTTCCTAGATGACGTGATAGATTTGCTCCAGCAATATCCTATACAGAGAACTGAGGCTTAATGTTGTCATAGATTAATTAAAGCTTTAATCCATCTTTGTTTGGTGTTCCCTAGTTTAAAAGTTTTAATCTAATTTCATGCAATAATCTGTTCCTTCTAAGGGGTTTTGGGGTTTTGGGGTTTTGGGGTTTTGGGG